GTCACAGGCCTCAGCCCAATGCTTATGCCTTCCCCGACGCTGTGTGTGTCCTGTTCTGTGGTGCCAGCCAAGCATCCTGCAATGGGCGCTGCATGAGCTCACCGCCTGGCTCCTCAGGGGTTTTGGTGCACTCTACAGTAATGTTGTGCCCTGTTTCATGGGTACAAGCCCGTAGGCTCCACTGAGTGTCTCCTGAGCAGCTTTCTTTGTAAATGACAATTGTTAAATTTAATCTGTGATTAGAAGGAGTAAGAAAACCGAAAATCCTTGGAAGTGTAGGCTGAAGTTGGGGTCTTGTGCTCATCTGTGTCATTTACATCTTGGTGTGAGGTCCTTTGGGCTATGTGGGTCAGCCTGAAGTGTGTGCTGGGGGAAAAGGAGAGCACAGAACCTGTTGTAAAAGATTCCTGAGCCTCTAGTGTTGAGGGACTTGTCACTGGCAAATCTGGGTGCTTTGGACTTTAGCATGAGATCAGAACAAGAACTTAGAAGTGCCTATATTATGCAGTAGTATGTCTTTCTGTTTTAGAGATTGTCTGCTCTCCTTATCAGTATTTTAGCACTTGGGATACTCTGTTTAACTTCTTGTGGCTGACAGATTAAATGAAAGGGCATCTTGACCTTGAAAAAAGCAGGATTTCCAGGTCCCACCTGTGCATACAGTGCAGAGAAGAAGTTTGAAGCTGAAACTGGTTCCTGAAGTGCAAAGGCCTGGTGCCATGTCAAGGGAAGCCCATTACAGTGCATTTTCTAACTGAATGAGAACTGGAGTTACGCATACAGTGCCCAGGAGAGTGGCAGAGCTTGGAGGCGTACCTTTTCCCCTTTGTTTCTCTTTTGAGGACTCCAGCCTTGGTTAGGAAAGGCTTTGTTATGTATGCAGATAGATGGGGCATTTTAATTTCTACAGCTGAAGTTTCCAGTTCTTAAAAACACAAAATCACATCTCTTAACATAGGGATCGAGACTATGAAGCAGCTGCTTTATTTGATGATGATGTTAAAACACAGTCAACACCACCTGGCTACTTGGATGTGACCAGGTTTTTGGTATAAAACCCAAGGTCGTTTGTGCTGCCTCTGCTGTTCTACAGCAGAATGAACAAAGAAAAGCAGGATAAAAAGGTGACTCCTGGTGTGCTGTCAATGGTACTGTTACTGATAGGAAATTAAACTCCTGTTTTACTCTTCTCCCCACTCCTTGCTTTGGGCTGCACAGTGAAATACTCTGGGTACCTGGAACACGGGGATGAGCCCTTCTGCACAAACTGCTACAGCAAGTCTCCTGGGCTGATGAAACTTGGAAAAGGTAGGTTTGAGCCGAGAACTTTGGGGGTTGTAAAGACCAGCCCATTTAAGACATGTCAATTTAAATGCTGTTTAGTATCTTTAGGTTATTTGAAACCTTTAAAACTTGTTAATGGAGTCTAAAAGCCTCATGCTTTGCACAGGTGATAATCAATCTGGAGCTGATCACCCCCTGCTCCTCTTGACTGTTAGTAGCAGCAGGGGTGCTTGCTATCTGCTCTGAGGTGGCTGCTTGTCTTGATGTTATTTTAAAATCACCTGAGGGGAGACATTGCTGTTTACTGTGGGCTTGGTCCCACAGCAGATTGCCTTAATAATCCATAACAGGAGGCAGTTGACTATTGTAGTTGCTGAGATATGAGCTACCAAGGATTTTTTCCTCCAGACTTTAGGAGAAATTGTTGTTTGGTGTCTGAGGGGGTTTCCATGTTTGCAATTCTCATGACCTTCCATATCTTGTTGCGACAGACATTACGCTGGGGGGTCTGGAAATTGGCCTGCTGACGATGAAGAAGGGAGAGGCAGCAAGATTTGTCTTCATGCCGGATTATGCCTATGGGCGGCAGGGCTGTCCTCCTCTCATTCCCCCGAATGCCATGGTCATGTTTGAAGTGGAGGTGCTGGACTTCCTAGACTCAGCTGAATCTGATGCATTCTTTGAGTTGACTGCTGTGAGTTGTCTTAATAAGGTTTGAGACCTAAGGCTGGAGGCTAAACCTCTGTTGTCTTTCCTTCCAGTTGCTGTGGCTCATGCGTTACATATGTTTAGCTTAATGCAGGTACAGTTATCCAGACGCTAGGCTGCTAGCTCTGATCTGGTACAAACACATGCCCTTTAACACTGTCCCTGCACGCCTTGCTCTGTTTGTACTCCCGTGCAGAGGGGAAAGCTGGGTGCTGCCTTTGTTTGCTCCTGTGTGCTGGAGTCAATGGAACAACTTCCATTTATTTTTAGCTTTACAAGAAACATCATGGTTTCACTAGAGGGCACCAGGTTCCGGGAATTCCTCTGAAGGAACAGTAATGAGCTGTCTGTAAAAATCCTGTTCAGTCTGCAGCGTCCAAGTGCCCCCCGCCCCCAAGGCCCCGTCCTTTGTCTCAGCTTCTTGGCTGTGCTCCCAAGTGTTCCTCACTGTTTGCTTTCCTCCCTGGTGAGTTACGGTGTTATTGTTAATTCCCCCTTTTCATGTAAAGGGCTTTGGGCTGTGGCTGTGGGTCAGTGAGTGGGGCACAGGCAGCAGTGCTGGTGGAGGAGGCCCTCCTCATTCCCTCCTGCTGCTGCGCAGGCCTCTTTTTTTCCCCCCACACAGTCCAGCGAGCAAACCACACTTGTTGCAAGAAAGCTTACTCCCCTTCTTGCCAGTTGCCCACCCTTTCTGGCTAACTGACATCTCTCTCTGAGCTGGTTCAAACTTGTAAACCCAGGAGAAAACCTGTCCCTCGAATTTGTTTTCATGTTTTTTATTATTGGGTTGTTTTGTTTTGCTGCTTGGTGTCTTGTGTGGGTGTCAGGCTGGTCCCAGAGCTGGCCTGAGGCAGCCATCCTGGGTGATGCTGAGTCATTAGAGCAATGGAGCCTTTCAAGCAGCGTCACCTTTTGTGCCAGCGGTAACATTTATGTTAACTGTTTGATCTGTGCTAAGCAGGTGAGAGAGTTGGGCAGGATTTAAGAACATGTTCCTGCTTTTTTCAGCCCCCCTGGTGTCCCTTTGGTCCTGGTGTGAACTTCCTGACCTATCTGGTAGCACTCTTCACCAGGAGTTACCAGCACGAGAACAGTGGCATGTTTCAGCCTGATGAAGGGTAAAGGCCTGGCTGGACATTGCAGGGGCCTTGGCAATGGCATGGCTCCTGCTCTGTGAATAAAAGGGGACTGTGCAGGACTGTCTTTTGTGAGCTCTTGGCTCATTTTCTTTTGTTTAAGCTGACATTCAGGTATTTCTTTGTACAGGAGCAGCAGGATACGTTTTCACTACAAAAGGTGTTGAAAGTGGCAGACACAGAGAGAGAGTTTGGCAACTACCTCTACCGTAAGCGTCACTTCGAGAGTGCCAAAGACAGATACAAAAGGGTATGACACCAGGAAAAAAAATGTGTTTTCCATTGTGAAAAGCTGTGAAAGCAGTGATTAAGTGCTATCTCACCATAATAAGTACAATTTAGAGATCAAATAACTTCATTGTATTTTCCAGGCATAGTTTGTTATTTAAGAACATATCTTAGACACTTGGTTTTGTGTGAGCAGCAGTAGTAAATGAAGGATGAGAAGAGTTGCCAGAAATAGCCTGAAGCAAAAGACGTCTGCCTTACTCCCTGTAGGCTTTAGCCAAGATGGAAGAGTGCATCTTGGTGGCTGTGCGAGCCCTGAGCAGTTTCTGTGGCTCACTGCCTTTCAGGTCAGCTTTTGCTGGGAGACATGATAGTGAAGCGTAGCTTTGTATTGCAGGAGCATGCTGATTAATGCTTTGAGAAGGAATCTCAAGTTCCTTTGGTCTGGAAACAGGTATCACTAGCATGCTAGGAACTCTAACTTTATTTTTAGCCTTCCAGTTGGAAATGGCAGAATAGTTGAGGTTGGTAGGAACCTGTGGAGGTTGTCTAGCCTAACCTCCGGCTGAAGGAAGGTCAGTCACAGCAGGAGGTTGTGCAGGACTGTGTCCATTCAGGTTTTGAACATCTCCAAGGATGGAGACTCCACAACCCCTCCAGGCAGGGAAATACTCAGTTATTCACAAACTGGAATGCATCTGCATTTGTTTCAGAGGTAGTGAGGTTTTGTGAGACTTCTTCCCTCCATTCTTGGTATTTCTTGCTTTTTCTTAGTATTTTGTAGCAAAAATAATTTAAATTGCCTTTCTCCCTGTAAGATTTCTCTTCCATCTTTGTCCTTAAAATCTGAGTCCTGGGTGTAATTTTTTTTTTATTCTGCTGCTTTTAAGGTTTAGGAACCTGTAGTCTTATGGCTGAGCTGGCTAGTCATGCTGATAATGCCATGCAGTGTATTGAGAGTTTTATTATTATTTTTAACTGACCTAGGTAAATGGAAACATGAGTGTGGCTGATGAAATGGATTTCTCACTTTCCATAACAGATTTGTTGTGTACTAGTTCTTTTTCCCTGTCTGCTCAGGCGTTCTCCATCCTTGGTCGCAGCCCTTCCAGTGAGGCAGAGCAGTGTCAGATCAATACTTCCAAGTTGCTTGTGCTTCTGAATCTCTCACTCACTTACCTGAAACTGGAACGTCCTGCCCGAGCTTTGGCGTATGGGGAGAAGGCCTTGGAGATTGACCAAAGAAACGCCAAAGCACTGTTCAGGTGTGGCCAGGTGGGCAAAAATAAATTCTTCTGGTAACCATGTCAAGGAATACTCTTGCCTGACTGACTGTGGAGAGAACCTCAAGTAAACCAAGGAGAACCGCTAAATTCTGGACCAGGCCTCTTAAGCTTCTGCAGCAGTTGGGGTGGTTTGTCTGCATCTGACCTATTGGAAAATCTAGCTGTCTGTAAATCTGTGACACAGATCTTTTCATGGGGGATTCCTGAGCTACCTGGATCTGTCTCAGAAATGTTTGTGGTTGTGCCTGTTTGAGTCCTGAAGAATGGCAGTGAGTCTATATTTATCTTGCGATGCATCTGTCTTTTGTTTGTTTTCCAATGGCAGGCTTGTCTCTGCATGACAGAATATGAAAAAGCCCGGGATTTCCTGGTCAGAGCTCAGCATATACAGCCATTTAACCACGATATTAACAATGAGCTGAAAAAGTTGGCAAGGTGAGAGAACTCCCTTCCATCCCTGTGGAAGAGGGAGTGCTTAGACAGGCTGGAACACCCACTCAAAAATACTTAATGTTTTAAAAAAAACCCAAAACACAAAACTATTGGGTTAGTAAGTGACTTGGGAAAATGCAGAAGGTTTCTCTTAGTGTGAAGACAGCTGATTCAAAGATTTTACAGACCTAGCGGTTACAGGTGATAGATGAGAAGTTGAGAGCACACTCTCTTTCCATAAAGTTTCTCTGGGGGAACATGTGTGTTATGCTCCTTATGAGTAGGTAGGTCAGGGTGATGACAAGGAGAACAAGGACTGCTGAAATGCCTCAAAGCCAATGAATTGCAGTAGGCTAGCAGTCAAGCTGGTAATCTTCTGGATTAATAAGTAAGGTTTTAATTCCCTTTAAGGTATGTTGGTTAATTACGGCAGCTGTTCTCACTTCATGTGCTTCAGTGTACAATGCTACAAATATTAATGTTTGTTAAAAGTGAATTTCTTGCTGTCTTGGACGTAATAAGTGAGCAATCCTGAAGGCAAACTTTCCCTTCACCCGCCGGCTGAGTACAGCACAATCCTGCCAGCTTTAGTCATGCCCTAGCCCCACCAAAACATGACTAACGCTTGTCTCTGCCCTCATTCTGTTCTTCCCTTTGAAACTGGCAAAAGCACTAGCTGATTCCCAAAAGTGTGTGCTGTGCTTCTGGCACTGTTCACATATGCAGAAGGCGATGCAGTCCCAAGCTTCAGAGATCACAAAGCAGCCCTTGAATACAAACCCTCTTCTTTTGTGTGTCGCTGCTAGGTGTTTGCAAAAAGGTCTGTAGGCAGCAGTAACATCTCTTACTAGAGTAGTTGGTGCAGCTGGAAAAGCCAGTCTTGTGGGATGAGTGCCTTCCCCAGGCAATGTTTTGGTAGAGGACTGTCCTTTCACAGAGGTGTCCTTTATATCTGTGTTGTCTTTAATAGTCTGTGATACCACTAAGTCTTCAAACTTCTTACTTCTGACCTGCAAAGAACTTGAAGGCGGTATTAGTTGCTGGTCTGGAAATCTGAAATCATAGAATCGTTTAGGTTGGAAAGGACCTTTAAGATCATTGAGTCCAACTGTAAACATAGCACGGCCAAGTCCACCAAATAAACCACTTCTATTCATCCTGGTGTGCCTCTCAGTACATAGCTACCAAATTGTTAGGTGAGCACAAGTAGTTATAAAATAGATCTGGATGGCTGGCTAGGGGCTTGGTATGTGGATAGTGTCAAATACCCATGGTACAGTGCTAGAAGTCCTAATTCTAGAAGCCTCACATGTTCCCTTAGACTTGTTTGAAATATGTTGGCAGGTAAAAGAGAAATCTTGCTAATAATGTTGAGGTTGTGCTACCAGAAAGCAACAAGGCATTCTGCTTTCAGGGAAGCAGCGAGCAGATTTGTCGGCTCTGACTCTGGAGGTAGCAGCACATACAGCTAACGCGCGTGTCAGTAAGCTGAGTACGTGTTAAACCACTGTTGTCACGGAGTTTCTGCTTCAGTGCCAGTTAAAATTGGTGTATTTTTTGCTTTTACTATGACAAAGAGTGGAATTAATATAAAATGGATGAAGACAACGTTATCGGGTATTGTTAATTATTACAGGATCTAGACTGAGGTAGGGCATGTTGCCAAACTGCCTTGCCTGAGAAAACTCGTAATGTGATCTGGCAAATGCTTCAGAAATGGAATATCAATCAAAATCTTGTTCTTAGAGGCTTTTCACTTCCTTACTGAGTACATTTATACTTTGCAAAAAGGAATGTTGTGTGTTAATCAACAGCTACCTCTTGCTGTCTAAAACAAAACTTTGAAAATCATCTATTTTACAGCTGAACCAGGTTCTTGGCAAAATTCACTTCACTGAAGAACAACAGGCAGAATCCAGAGTGAGGGTTTTGTGGAATGTATGTCTGGTACCAGCTGTAATGGTCTTGTTGGTGCAAATTCTGCTGCTGGATTTGGCAGTTCTATTGGAAGACTTGCATTGCATCAAATCCAGAACAAAATGGGGTTGTTCCAATATCTGGCATGAATCTGCACCTCCAAATGAGGGACCCTGGGATCTCATGCTGTGGTAGGTGTGTGGGCATCCCTGATCTACTCATTGTGGACAGTTGTGGCAACATCTGTCTGAGACTTAACAGAAGAGACTTGCTGTGCTGGGATTTCATTGAACAAAACACTTTGAGGTTCTGGACACGGAGGTGCTGATGGTAGGGGGCTGAGAGAGCATTAGCCAACATCACACTTGTGCTGTTTCTGGTGTGTTGCAACAAAAACCTTTGCTTTTGACCTTATATGGTAGCACATGCGGGAAAGCTGAGCATGTGGGCAGCCATTGATCCCTGGGACAGTGCCCAAACTGAGTCACCCTCTGGCTCAGGGATTCCTCACCAGTGAGACCTCGTTGCTGATAAGGTACAGAGGGCACTGTGCTTGGAGAAGCAGCGATTAAAATGGAGCAGTCTGGGAAGCTTTTGCCATGCTATTGTGACGCTGGCAGGAAAGTGAGAATGGAGGAAGCATCTGTCCTGTCATCCACTTAGTCCGGACACAAATCCCTGCTGTCTCCTACCTATCCTCTGCTCAGATCTGGTTTCAATGGTAAATATCCCAGAGTAGGGCACTTGGATGAGGTCTCCTGCTAGGTGCTGAAGGAACTCATGCAAGGAGTGGTGCAAATGAGACACAGAACTAGATGACAGGATGCAGGTTGAGGTTCCTCTGCACCATCACATGCTTGCAAAACTGGTGTAGGAAGTATCTGGCTACTGAAGGTCAAATGATCTACTTAGCTAATAGTCACAGTGAAGCAGAGACCCAAGGTCTGGGGATGAGGCATAGTGTTTCCAGTGCTTCTTCCCTGACATGGCAGAAAGAAGGGCTGTATCTTTGCTATCAGCACGTTCTTACCTCAGGCTAATTTATTTATATAGAAAAAATAATATATATTTTCTGGTTGTGGCACTGACAGTTGGGTGGACAGTCCACAGCCCCTGATGCCATGCTATGCTCTACTTTACAGCTGCTACAAGGACTACATGGAAAAGGAGAAAGAAATGTGCTGCCGAATGTTTGCCCCTCTCAACTCTTCTTCTGGCTGACCAGAAATAAAGGTAATCAAGTTGTGGAAAAAGGCTGAGGTCTCCCAAAACCTCTGTCATGTCTGAACTGTTTTCAGGTGGGGAACCTGCTTCTCTTCTGCGTGGGAGGATTTGGGGGGCAAAATGTAAGGTAATGGGAGTGTGTGGAGGGGCAGGATGGTGGAGTGAAGCGCTGCTACATCGTTGACTTGGGGAATCTTTCCTGCAAGGCAAGCTGGCATGGGACAGGAACCTGAAACCAGCAGCACTTGAGTAAGTGGTTTGTTGATTCCTGTGCTGCTCATCTCAGCTATTCCTTGTCAGAGCCAGGGGGAGAAATAGCTGTGTAGTCTTGTTTCTCTGCCAATTAAAAGAAACAAAAAAAATTGTTCCTGTCAAACTTAAGAATTGGATTTCCTCCTCCCCTCCAGCGCTCCTGTCTGGAGCCGTTGGAATGCCTCACTTCAGAAAAATCTAAATATTTTATTTCTGGGTTTTTTGAAATATTAAAAAACCTGTTTGTATAGAAAATTTCAAATAGATGTTTTGGACTCTTTAAAGCCTTAAATCTTCTAACAAAATTGACAGGTTTAGAAGTGCATAAAGGCTCTTTGATTTATTTATTTATTTTGTGTCAAAACCTTTGAGGGGGGTGTAAGGGGGAGTGTAAGTCTTCATTGGTCTCTTACCTCAGGGTAATAAAGAGTTGTGGCAAATGACAGGAGCCTTCTGTCAGAAAGCATCACCAACTCAGGGCCATCAAGAGTTTGCTGTCATTCTCTCTCATGCAATACAGGCAGTACCTCTTCTAGTTATAGAAAATGAGTATTGGCAGCCTTTCCATCAGTAGCAGTGCAAGTGCAGGTCTGGTATTTTAAGGTTGGCTTTTTTGTCTGTGGTTGTGGGGAAGCTAAGGTAGTATGTGAGAGAGAAGTTTGACTGAACGGCTGCTTCCTAAAGCAACGCAGCCGCCTTCTGAATGAATGTGCCTCCCTGCTGTAGTCTTCACCTCTCACACCGGCCCTGTGCCCCTGTGCTGGGCATGTTGCTAAACTGCCTCAGAGGACAAATTCTTCTGCCCTGGGCTCAGGATGAGACTGATAACATCTGTTAGCAGGTACCTACCCCCAGGCAAGTAACTGTGAAAGGGGATTTAAGACTACTGATGAACAGCCTTGCCAGTGTGTGCAGGAAGTGTGTGGCTCTGGACTTGGCAAGGAGGCTCTGATTCTCCATTTGCTGAATTTCTGAGACTTGCAGTTTGGAAGCCTGTAGGACTTGGGTCTCGTGTCTGACCGTAGTACGTAGTGGTGCCTGACCTGGGAAGCTGCTTGTGTTGATCTGTGCATCAACTGGCCCGGGTTTGTGGTGCGAACTCGGAATGAATGTGTTGATCTGCTGGGTCACCAGGCAGGTCCTCCACTGGTAAGGTTGTGTAGCCTCTTGTTTCCCAAAAAGCGACTTGCAAAGATGCTGTTTTCCACGTGGTTGGTGTAATGGCACATAGCTATTGCTGTAAGTAAAACAGTGTCTTCAGCTGGTGGAGACTGAGAAGTGTGAAGAGGAAGGGGGAAAAAGAGAAACCTTTGCTGGAGGCAAGCTTAAAGATTGGGCTGAGCTGTTCATCAGCCAGAGTTTCTCCGCTGACTCCTGCCAATGCACTTGTACAGCAATTTCCTGGAGTTCTCCCGCCTTACACAGCTGATGGACAGCTGTCAGTCAAAGATTTCTAACCATCTTTGAAGTTTATTTTAGTTACAATATTAAAAATAAACTAAGTCTTCCAGACGAACATAAATCACTGAGACCTACACAAGAATCTACTGTTAATTCATTGCAAGAAAAATCACTTGCTGGAGGAGGTTTCTGCAGCTAGCCTTGTGCTAGCTGGAGGTTGGTTTGCTGCTGCATCTTGCTTAAAAACTTCATTACATGCTCAGAGAGCAGCAAAACAGTTCCAACTGGAACTCCTGCTCCCTGTCAAAGGCATTGCTAATTAGTCAGACTTGAGGCAGAGCATTCTTTGGTATTTCTGACAACTTCGTACAAGTTCAGTTTAGAGTACAAGCTGTACTCGGTCAGTCTGGCAGGCCTGCTTCATCCTTTCTGTCTTAAGCACTGAGTGAGTAGATGGCCTCTGAATGCTGCCTGTAGCTCGTGTTTAATGATCCAGGGGAATCACAACAGTTACAGAAAACTTTCCTATATACCAGCTGGCAGGTGCTTGTTAAGCGTTGACCTGACCCATTTTCCAGCTTACCAGCTAAATGACTTGGAGCTGTAGTTGTAGCATTTTCTCCTTCCTTGAAACACTGCTACATCCATCCCTCTGCTTCAGAGCTCCTTCCCAGGTGGTTTTGCTTAACCTTTTGGTGACCTCTGTAGCGGTTGTTCTGTTACAGGGACAAATGCTTCATTTCTCTGTACCACATAGTCCAGGGCTATGTTGTATGTTTTGCATAATGACACTCGGACCCAGACACACTTGAGTATCTTGGTATTTCTGTATCCCTCTCACTGTGGAGTCCTGTTCCTCTAACTGCCACAAACAACATTGTGCTCAGAGCACACTTTCTTTTTAACAGAGTTTCAGGTCAGAATAAATCTGCTCTTTGGTGAAATGCAAGGCCACTTGTGATGCTTCCTGGAGAAATTCAGAAATAGGGAGAAAGAGAAGCATGAATACTTTCTTAAATTTATCCTGCTGGAAATGCAGTGGCTTGGGTCTTTTGCTTACCCATCTTTGGGTTATTTGCCTGCCTCTCTACACTTTGCGCAGTACAGACGTATCGAGGCAGGTTACCTCCTCGTGGTGGAGACTGAGAAGTGTGAAGAGGAAGGGGGAAAAAGAGAAACCTTTGCAATGGTTACCTGCAATGTGCATAGCTGAAAGTCCCCTAAATTGCAGGATGGATGGGCTGAGGACCGCTGGCTTATTGGAGCATTTTGTTCTTTCTTGTTTGAAAGACCCAGCAGAAAAAGAAGGAATTTCTTACCATTGTAATGCTGTGGTCCTTCATAAGAGAACTTGATCATCAGGAGTGGGGACGAATTCCCTGGAAATGTCTGGATTCTAGTAGGGGGTCCTTGGTGATAGTTTGGTCCATGAAAGATGAGTCTCTGAGCTTTTTTAAATTATTATAGGTGGGCCAAAGCTGAAGACTTGCCTCTCATGTATCTCGGCTCAATACACAGGAGAAGTGGTCTCAGTAGTTGACAGCACACAGGGAAGTGTTCCAGTGAAAACAAACAATGCTGAAATTATGGCAGGAAACTGACTCCGAGGTCAAACTTGAGATTGTTACAAATAGCAGGGTCTAGCAGTTTTGAAGCCATTAGTTGGTGAGAATTGGCTGCAGAACTGAGGCTGTGTCACCAGGTAGAAGTGACTATAATCGGGCTTAAAATCAGCAGCAGTTGCCAGTTAAACTGACCTAATAAGCTGAAAGCCTTGCAAATAAACTGAGAAGTATGTGCATAACAGTAAAAACTCCTGCCTTGGGAAGGCTGCAGACTTTGAGTAAACAGCAACTTGCTCCTTCCCCTCCTGCTCTCCCTTATTACTGAGCAGATCTAAACTGTGCCTCCTGCTGATACTGTCCCTACCCACTGTGTAAAGCTGAACAACACAGAACTGGCAATTTCACTTCTTTAGAATATGCAAATTATTGTACCACCGAGATGTCCTGTGCTCTGAAGGAAACTGTTAAGTATCTGCTTTATGCTGAGCATTGCTGGAGCGAGTGGGAAGGCTTGAAGGGTGACTTAATTAAGTATTCTCCTTACTAAGCAGAGGAAGGAGAAAAGCTTTAATAAGGTTGTCGGGTTGGGATTTTTTTTTTTTTGTTTTCCCTCCAGCTCTCTGCTCTTCTAGCATCATTTTTTCTTTTTTTTTTCAGAGGAGTTCTGCAGTTCATGCCTGCAGTAGTACCTATAATACCTCTCTGGAAGATTGGTGACCTCTGGTCTCTTCTAGAAACTGTCAGTGGAGAAATGGCTGCACCACCTCTGCTTAGGGATGCCATGACATGTATACTTCCCTGTCAGGTGTAATGGACATGGGTCCCTGGTTTGAATGCCTGTGCTTAGAAGTGAAAAGATGATATGAGATGGAAAGGAGGGAGACCCATGCAATGTCTCAGTGCCCTACTATGCCCATCCTCCAAGGCATCGATGAAGTGGTGATTCTCCCACCTCATTGGAGGACTGCCTTGGGGCCCAGCCCAGGGCCATGCTCTCTAAGACTTAGCAAGTATCTAAGGGTTCCCCTTTGTGTGCTCAAAGATGAAGCTCCCAGGTGAGGTAGGAGCAGGTTCCTGGCTGTGTTTCTCCTCAAACTCCTGTCTGCCTGCCTGAGGCCACCCAGCACGCTTGCCCTGGGAAGGACAGGCTGAGCCCCCAGTGGATAACCCTATGCGAGCTTTTAGTTCTCGGAGCTTTTGCCAGCAGCTGAGAGATAAAATATGGTGATGTTACAAATCAGTAGAGTGAAAAAGATGCGGGGCTCTTTTCATTCCTATGGTAATACTTGGTTTATCATGCAGGTAGAGTTTAAAGAGAATGGTCTATGTGTAAGATGTGAATTTCTTTATGAAGAAAGTTTTCATTTTGCAGAGCATTCAGAGTTACTGGCGTTCACTTCCAGCAGCAAGGACACGCGTGGTTATTTTAAGGTTTTAGCTGAAGTATCATTTTTAAAGTCTCCTTTTTCCACACCTTGTGTTTCAATTGTGATAAGCTATATGAAGTATAAGTAAAAATGTTTTGTTACTTTGATGGGTAAAAAGGGAAATTGGATAAACCTACACCCAAGTAGGTAGTGACCAAAACCAATTTTGGGTGGGAGCCTGCTGCAGATGCCTTTGACTCGTATACCTGGGGACAGTTTATAGCTTTGTTGTGCTGGTAGCTGAGGCACAGAAGTCCCCAGTGCTGCTTTTGGTCCTTGTGGCACTACGGACAATGGCAAGTGGCTCTCCCTGGGCTCTTGCTCAACCCAGGCAGAACTGGCATGCCTGGCC